CACCTGAATCCATCAGGGCTTTGCATGAAAAGTTCTTCTTTTCAAAGGCAATAGAAATATCAAGGAGAAACCTATTTTTATCCACTCCAGAGGACGTTTCCATTACACCTAAGACCTGTCCACTTAAGGTGCTTAGGTGCGGTAGTTTTCCGATTGAATGGGACAATTGATTCTCATATGTCCTTTTCTACCTCAGTATAGACATAGGCCTTTTTTCTCCTATATTGTCTTTATGCTTCCAACAGTCTAGTGACCCCCAACTGCATGGGTTCGGGTTCGGACTGTACAGGAAATTCATGGACAATAGGTTTGGAGAAGTGGGGTGCTAAAGGTATATTCATGTGTCTGGTCTTGTTTCTAGTAGCTTCTCTGGTTCTCAATCTATTATCAATTTGCATGACAAAAGTGATAAATTCATTAAGCTTTTTGGGTAAGTCTTTGGTGGCAATCTCATCTAGCATAGTTTCAGATAGTCCCTTTTTAAATGCAGCGATTAACCCACTATTAGTCCAGTTTACCTCGGAAGCTAGGGTACGAAATTCTATGGCATACTTCCGGTTCCCTTGTCTGATATGAATCAGGGCAGTAGAGGCGTCTTCCTCCGCAATAAACTCCTGGTAATTGTGTGCCACACTCCTATTACTCTCCCATAATGGATTGGCCCAAGCTAAAGCTTTACCATTTAATTGATTCATCAGGTAACCAATTTTAGCTCTGTCTGTGGGAAAAGATCCCGGTGAGGCCTCAAAATGATACTCTATTTGGTTAAGGAATCCCTGGCATTCTTGGAAATTACCATCAAAATGCAGAGGAGGAGATAGAGAGATAGATGGTGCCTTGTGTACTATAGGTTGATTTACACAAGGCGAAGGTGAGACAGTAGGAGCTGCCGCAGGTTGCAGATGCGCTGTATGGGTAAGAAGCGTACTGAAGGCCTGGGCAAATTGATCCATGCGGTAATCATTCTCCTCTAGTTTCCTTTCCAATCAGCTATGTGCTTACAAAATTCTACAGGATCTATGGCCATATCGTAATGTCAGGATTACAGAATGATTCAGCACGTAGAATTGTGTAACACAGAGGACTGATAGGTAATGTATGCCGGACCTTAGAATGGCCGGACTAACGTACCAAAGAATAGTCAGGAATAGCCGAGGTCAAGGGAAACAGAAAGAGACACAACGATAAGGAAAAGCCAGGAGTCAGGGATGCCAGAAAACAGGGAAGTCAAAAACAATCCCAAAGTCAAATAACCAGAATCAATAACGCGCTCTCAGACAACCACAAGGGAAACCATGACAGGGCACTGAGCAGGATGAGAACTGGGCCTAAATACAGGGCCGGACTGGGAATTAAAAGCAGCCCTGGAAAAAAAATATTTACCAGCCCCATAATGCATCGCGCCAGCATAGTGTGCAGATACAGAGTTAGAACAGATAACTTAAAATTAAAAAGTACTTCAACGTAAAAAGCGCACTCATAGGCTTCAAAATAAACAAAAGTGCAAATTTATTTTAAGCAGACGTGCCTTTGCATGTAATCAATGTTTCAGTCCAACTACCTTGACATATTAAGGAAAGCTTGTTAATGGGACTGAAATGGTGAATGTATGTAGGGCACAACTGTGAAAAATGTTTATTTTGAAGTCCTGTGGGTGTGCTCTTCACTTTAAATATGTTATTGTGCTGGAGTATGCACCTAGCAACAAGACTGGGCCAATATCTGCTCATTACATATGGTACATATTAATGAAATTTCTCTGTGTATTATGCATTTATAAATGTACATTAATATGTGTAAATATAATAGAGATATAAAACTAATACACACATTAATATACATGTCATATACTAATGGCGGATCCAGAGCCTGAGCCTGAGAGGGGCACTTGTAGATTATTTAAAGAAATATTCCATGCACAATAACCACTACTCCTCTGTGTAGTGGTTATGGTGCCAGGAGCGTCGGCACCCCCTCCCAGAGTAAGTCGTCAAACCGTTTAAGAACAGTTTGACAACTTACCTGGAGTCTGCTGGGATATGGGGCTGTAGTAGGGTATAGGAGCAGTGGTGCAATGTGTGTGAAAGGTTCAGTGTGTGGGTGGGCAGTGTGTGAATGTGTATGGTGTGTGTGTGTGGGGGGGCAGTGTGTGAATGTGTATGGTGTGTGTGTGGGGCAGTGTGTGTATGGGGCTAGAGTTCACTCCTACTACTGGGACCACCAGGAAGTGGTGAGAGTGAACTCTAGCCCGTAGCTCCAGGGCTAGAGTTCACCCTCGTGAGAGCCGGAGCGTTGCCCCAGGTCCTCTCTTCCTCCCCTGCCGACTGGCTGCACGGTGCCTGTGGAACGGGGAGGGAGATCGGCCGGCAGGGGAAAGCCTTGGGGGCTTTGTGATATATACTGCCCCTATGTGTGTCTCTTTATCTCCAGCCCCTCTGTGTGCCTTTTTGTCTCCCCCAGTCACTCTGTATGTTTCTTTCTCCCCCTCACTGCTCCTCTGTGTCAATGTCTCCCCTCTCCTTCCCAGTCTCTCTCTTCCCCCTCTGCCTCTTTCTTCCCCTCCCCTTGTGTGTCTCTCTCTCATTTCTCCCTCTTTGTCTCTCTCTTCCCCCTCTGCCTCTTTCACCCCCTTTCCCTGTGTCTCTTCCTCCCCCCTTTCCCTGTGTCTCTCCCTCCTCCCCATCTCTCTCCCTCCCCCCTTTCCCTGTGTCTCTCCCCATCTCTCTCCCCCCCCCTTTCCCTGTGTCTTTCCCCCCTCCTCCCCATCTATCTCCCCCTCCTTTCCCTGTGTCTCACCCCTTCCTCCCCATCTCTCTCCCTCCCCAGTGAGCCACTGTAAATTAATGGCAGAGGGCACTTGCACTGCGGTAAAGATGGGGCTGGGCAGGAGGAGAGTGCAGTGCAATCAGTGCACTCCCCTCCTGTGGGTCACCAGTAGACTGGTGCACCTGCCCAGGATCAGAGCCGGTGCAAGGATTTTTGCCGCCTAGACAAAATAAAAATTTGCTGCCCCCCCATGTGACATCACAATGCCCCACCCATATGAACTAACGCCAGTGCTGCACACAGTGTGTGTTTACATTAAAAAGCCTGCAGGGACCAGCTATAGACACCAGAACCACTTCATTAAGCTATAGTGTCCCTTTAATGTGAGGTACATTATAGATAAGTGTCACTAATAATATACTAGATTGCCTACTTACAAGCAGATGAGGATGATGATGGGCTGCAGTTTGGCTCCACTGGTCTGGTGTAGAACAGGATCTCTGAGGCTGTTTGCAACTGTGGTCACAAAATTCAATGTTCTGGGAGAATTGGAAGCAGCTCCATTTTTTGGGGCCCCTTACACAGCTCAAGGTCTGGGCCCCAGGGCCTGACGGTGAGTATGCCCATAAGGCCCACTCATAAGTTCTACCCACCCATGAGTTCACTCACAGGGAGTGGAGTGTGTAGGGGATGTGTTATGTGTTATTGTAGAGGATCTAATATGTGTGCTTATGGTATGTAGTGTATAGGGTTACCAGTTTGTGCAGGTGATGTAGTGTGTTTGTGTGTAGTGGAAGCAGTGTGTATTTGTGTATGAGGGATGTATTATGTGTTTCTGGTTGTGTGTAAGGGATGCATTGTGTGAATCTGTGTTTGTATGCATAAGGGATGCAAAGTGTGTGTCTGTATGTGTGTGCATTGAGTGTAAGAGATGCATTGTGTTTCTGTGTGTATGCAAGAAAAGAAGTGTGTGTGTTTGCATGTGTGTGTACGGGTTTGCATTGTCTGTTTCTGTGTATGTGTGCAAAGGATGCATTGTCTTTGTGTGTAAGGGTTGCATTGTGTGTGTGTGTGTAATGGATGCATTGTGTGTTTCTCTGTGTGTAAGGGAAGTATGTTGTGTTTCTGTGTATGTATAGGGATGCATTGTGTGTGTGTGTGTGTG